TCTTCATGTCAGGAGACCAACTGAAGTTGAGCACAACTTCAGTTTCTCAAGTGTAACATTGTTAGTCAACATATCAACAGAGTTCTTGCTTCCACAAATTTTCTCAAGCAACAACTGCCCGTCATCTAACAATGATCGAATGAAGTAATACCTGATATAAATGTGCTTAGTCTTGGATTGAAATGTTGGATTCCTTACAAGGAATATGACGCTCTGACCATCACTGTAGAGTGTTTCATTCTGATATTTCTGACACAATTCCTCCAAGAAGCTCTGTAGCCATATCATGTTCTTTGCAGCCTCTGACACTGCAATATGCTCAGCCTCTGTGGTAGACAAAGAAACTATTTTCTGTAGATTATAGCTCTATGACACTGCAGTGCCACAAAGAGTATAAACATACCCCGTAGTACTCCTTATGCTATCAATGTCTCCAGCTAGATTAGCATCAACGTAGCCCAATACTTATAAACTCTTTCTTGAAAAACAAAAACAGGTTTTTGATAAGCCACTTAGGTATCTCAAGATACATTTCACAACTTTCTAATATTTATTTCCTGGTTACTCTTGTATCTACTTATAAACTCTGTTGTATGAGCAATATGTGGTATTGTGCGAACCATAACATACATAAGTGAATCAATAGCTGAAGTGTAGGGAGTCTTACTCATGTGGTCTCGTTCCTCCTCTGACTTGGGTGACTGATTCTTGTTGAGTCTGAAGTGACTGCCTAGAGGTGCGTCAACTGGTTTGACTTTGTCCATATTGAAATTGTTGAGTATCTTTTTCACATACTCAGCCCGTGAAAGTCTCAACGTGCCTCTGACTCTGTCTCTGACATTTCTCATGCCAAAGATTTGTTTTACAGCTCCCAAATTCTTCATTGCAATGTGCCATGACATCTTTTTTTTCAGATTATTGATCTCATCAATATGCCTCTGACTCTGTCTCTGACATTTCTTATGCCAAAGATTTGTTTTACAGCTCCCAAATCCTTCATTGCAATGTGCCCTGACATCTTTTTTTTCAGATTATTGATCTCATCAATATTGGCCCCTGCAGTAAGCATGCCATCCATGTACAATGGTAGAATAATATAACAATTGTCAAAATATTTGACTGGTAATAGTGATCTGTCTGACATCTATTGTACCATGTATTATGCATGAAAGTATCAAATTTCTTGTACACTATCTAGGAGTTTGTTTTAGGACAGACAGACTCTTCTTCAGTCTGTAAAATGATTATTTATTTCCCTGTACCATAAATCTCTCAGGTTGGTGCATGTAGATATATTCTTCTAGATTTCCATGAAAAATGTTGTCTTCACATTTAACTGCTCAAGGAATAGATATTCGGTAGCCACCATGGACAGTACCATTCTGATGGCTGTGAGATTCACCACAGGAGAATAGATCTCAGAATAATCAATATTTTGTCTGTTGAAAACCTTTTATAATAAGTCTAGCCTTGTACTTAATACTACCGTCATGCTCAATTTTCGCCTGGTACATCCACTTGTTGTGCAGTGTCTTCTTCCATAGTGGAAGTTCTGCCAACTCTCAAGTTTGATTTCCTAACATATAATACATCTCCTCTTTTATGGTCAAGCTTCCACTTGTTAAAATTTTCATCTTGCAAGGTTTCTTCATAACTCGACGATTCTCTATCATCTGTCAGCAGAATGTAGTTCAATGTTAGTGAGTAACGTTGAGGAGAACGTCTATTCCTGACTGACCTGCGAACTGTAGCTATAGGGGTGGACGACTCTGAAATTGACTGTGGAACAATAAGAATGGGTGTGCCTAGACTCACTCTCTTCATTACTTTTATCACTGCTCTGCAGTGTGAGCTCTAGTAGATCATCAAAACTTACCATCTCGGATTCCTAAGGAGCCACTTCAAAAACTGTACTGGACTTGTTATTGTACATGACCTTCTCACTGAAAATCACATTCCTGTTTCTTATAATCTTTCGATCCTGATCATCTCAGAAATGATAACTAAATGTCACGTCTTCATAGCCAATGAAATAACATTTCTTTGACTTAGTATCGAGTTTTCTACAAGCCTCAAGATTAATAAGAACATAAGAACGATAACCAAAAGTCTTAAGGTGAGAAAATTTGACCTTTTTCTCACATCAGACCTCCCCAGACGATTTAAGTCTAATGGAACGGATGATCCCCTATTGATCAGGTAAACTGCAGTGCTGACCGCATCTGCCTAGAAAGTTGGTGGTAGTCTGATGTGCAATCTCATGCTTCTAGCCCTAGCCCGCTCATTATTGGTCATGTTCATACGCTCTGCGACTTCATTTTGTTGTGGTGTCCCCGGAATGGTCTTCTCCATTATAATATCCTTAGTTGCACAGTACTTTTTTAACCCACTATCAATATACTCATCACCATTTTCAAATATCAAACATTTCAGTTTCAAGTCTTTCTTTGTCTTAACCATGATCTTCCAAGTTCTGAACACATTAAATACATCAGATTTATATTTCAAGAAGTAAACTCATACCTTCTTGTTGTGGTTATCAATGAATACGACATAGTAGCGAGAGCCTCCAAGAGATGCTACTGGGAAAGACCCCCACACATCTGTTTGTACAAGTTTCAGTTTTTCTGCCTTTAGAGCTTTGTCACTTTTCAAGAAACTAACATTCATCTTTTTCCTCATAATGCAACTCTCACACATGCTGAGATCAACTGATTTCAGTTCTGGTAGCTTGCTTCTGGACCGAAGTTCTTTCAGACCCCTTTGCAGCAGTAGTATCAACATTGTTAATTGAACCGCTAATATCTATACTGTGTCAGTTTTCTTAACCCGAGCCAATACCAGTGCATCTTTTGTAATCTTCTAGGAGCTATCTGAGAACACTGCTGAGTGAATACCTTCATCGAGCTGCTCAACAGAAATGAAGTTTTTATTCAAATCAGGAATGTGCCTAACTTTTTGCAAAGTCTATTTGCTCTTGTTAGGGAGTGCAATGTCAACGTCTCTCATCTCCATCACGTTCAAAGGTTCTTCGTCAGTCATATATAATTTTCCAAAGTCACCTGCAATGTATCCACCACGTTCAAAGGTTCTTCGTTAGTCATATATAATTTTCCAAAGTCACCTGCAATGTAATTCCGCATTAACTCCGAGTGGGAAGATGTATGGAAGGAAGCCCCCAAATCCAGTCTTCGGTCATCAACAGAACTGTGAACTGCAGACATCAATACATCATGCACTTCTTCAGTTACAACATTAGCATTGACGTTCTGTGTCTTCTTAGGATTTTTGTAATTTCTCTTTATGTGTCCAACTTTATCACAATTCTAGCAGGTTGCTTATTGACCAGGCTTTGACGCTCTTGACTCTGTGCTTTGATTTTGATCTTCCTCTGTTTGAGCTTATTTTTTGTGATATCCCTCTGGAATTAATATTTAGTCCTTCTGGAATCAATGTTCAGTGTTAAACTCGAACCTGAGATCTCACCAAAATATTTCTAGCGCATCTCCTCAACCAAAATCAAATCACGAATATCATCATATTTCAACTTAGATTTCCTGCAGAATTGCTAACGATCATCCTTATGACTTTCCAGGTACTTGACAATGAAACCAACAATATTAGTGTATGTATTTCATCATCAAATTTAATTTTCACAGTCAATATTTAATTTGTGATAATATTAAAATCATTCAGATGTTGTGCAAAAGCTGTACCATCCGTTATCTTTAAATTGAATAACTTTTTCATTATATGCACTTTGTTATTCGCTAATGACTTTTTATACATACCTGACAAAACTGTCATGAGACATGCAATTGTCATTTCGTTGATAACGTTGTGTGTAACGAATATCGACAGAGTCAATCAAATAACCCCCATAACTTATCGATCCAATAAATTTCATTCAGTCACGTCAATTTTTTTCAGTTGTTTTCCAAACAATGGAAGATATAATTTCTTTCCATAAAAATAATTCTATATCTGCATCTTCCAGTAATCAAAATCTGTCATATCAAATTTTTCGATCTCTGATGCATTCACTTCATCTTCGGTCATCGTTTTCTCTCAGATCCGAACTTTGACTCTGATACCAATTGTTGTGAGAAACGAAGATAATAAAACGAAAAATTGAAACAAGAAATTCACAAAGTTAGACAAAACATAACACACAGATTTACGTGGTTCTGCAAATTGCCTATGTCGACGGGAGTTGCAGAGGATTTTATTGCTTTAAGGATTACACTGTCGATCACGTCGACTTAGAAGAAAAACTCTCTTTCTCTTCCTCTCTTTCTCCTCTTGTCCTCTCTCTTACCACCCGTAAGCCACACGAGAGAAGAAAACGAGGGAAGAAATGCGAAGGGGAGAAGCAGCTTGCAATATTTCTTCCCGTGAGCAACACGCCGAACGGCAGAGGGAGAACCGTATCCCTTTGCAAATCCTTCGACCATGAAACTTCTACCTGCAAGCAATCACTGATGAAGGAGTCCAAACAGGGGAGCAGCCTTGCGATCTCCTCTCTGTTGTAGCGAATCTTCTCAGCCGTCCGCCGATCCTTCTCAGGTTCGAAACAGAGGAGAAGCCATCCTTAATAGCCGCGATCAAGAAAATCGGGCGGGAATCCTGTTAGGAAGTGGCGGAAGTCCTGGAGTTGAAAGGTGCAGGAGTTACGATCTTTCCAAAACAAAGGAAAGATCAAATAAGGAATTAATCAAGAACGATTCAAATAACTTTCATGGATTCGGAAACTTCCAATATGAGAAGTGGAGTTGGCTCCACAATAATCAACATAGTGCATTGGCTTTGAACTCATCATTTCGTGATTCTGTCCCCAGTATTTCACCTTATTGTGTCCTGCCACTTTTTGTTTATAGTTTTCTCTTTTTCTTCATTACATATCGATTACCAGCTTATTTTTGTTTAGAAAATTCGCCCAAGAGGATTTTTTTTCCACTATTTGATTGATTTATTTTTTCTTTTCTCTGCTAACTTTTCAGGATTGGCTGCATAGTTCTATGTGTTGCTCAGGATGAATTCCATGATGAAGCATCTAATACCTTAAGTTTTGTTGTTCAACAATCAGATTTCATTGTCCAGATCCTAAGGAATGTCACAGATTATTTATCCTTAGCGAAGACAATAAGTGTGGATGAGTTCTATATTTCGTCTGATGCTCAAAATGAAATCAACAAGTTAGATGTGGATCTAAGGAGTGCAGCTCATATCATATCAGAAAAAACAACCGAGAATTCGGAAAAGATTAGAAGAGCGGTAAATTATGTGTAAAACCCAATTCCTAAATAACATTTAAGGAATTTTGCATGATCACATTTTTTTTTTTAATCCTATAACTGTTTTTTTTTTGGTGAAATAGGAGGGATGTTTTGATTTTAGTTGCAGTAATTATGCTTTTGCTTGCTCTTATCGGTTTTGGTGCGTATTCTTTCTCGCTTCTATTTAAAATTAGGGAAATTTACATACATACAGCAGGATCTTATGTATTTACATATCTAATGCCCAAAGTTTGATATTTACACTTATAATACCTTGGTCTCATAAAACTATGCATGGGAAGATGATATTTCTCTTTTAAACAGATAGTGATGGTGGTATTTTTTAATGCGATATTAAAGATTTAAGCGGCATGCATGTAAGTATAAATGTTTTGGTGTCAGACATATGAATGCGAATCAATTGTGTGATACACATGTAACTGACCCTTATTAGATATGTAAATACATAAAGATTTTATGATTTGTATGTAAATGCCCCTTATTATAATTTTCTCTACATCCAACGATGAAATTGACAATTAGTTTTTTATTTTCTTATCTATTCTCATGTTCACGGCAGTACTTTCAATTATAGGACACAAGCGGGCTATCTACGTGTAAGTTGAGTGTGGATTCTTTTCAGTGGATTAGTTATTCAAAATTTCTGAAATACATGTATAATTTTTTAAAACTATCCTGTTGTTCAGGTTTACTACAGCTGGATGGCTACTTGTTGCGGTTACACTTTTTTTGTTTGGAGTTTTTGTCATTTTAAAGAGGTAAGAACCATAGCTAAGCAATTTTTAACTCGTGAAAGTTGTTTATGTCTTGCAAACATTATTTATTTGATTTTAAATCTCATATATTTTTCATTGATCTTTAAAAATTTCTGAACTCTGCTAAACCTACCTATCATTTGAAAACTATAAATTGTTTGCTTATATATATATATATGTAGATATATGTGTGTGTGTGTATGTATGTATGTATGTATGTAGATATATGTGTGTGTGTGTGCGCGCCACATACCTTGGCCTGTTGGTTGGCATCCTCGAACTGAGGCGAATTCCCCCTGACACAATTAGCCTTAAACAGGTGATACTCTAATTGTTAGGCACGTTAGGAGAGGCTCGTATAATAGCCTCTGGCCATTCCTTTAAATATACTCCTAAACTTAATTTTCTTACATACATACTACCTTATCTATACATACAAGGTGTATTTCATTTTTTAAAGTTAAAATGATGATATTTTTTTATGTGATATAAAAGATTTACTTGGTATAATTGTAAAATTAAACTCTAGGCGTTGGATAAGTAAATACATAGGAATTGGGTGGTATGTATTTAAATGCCCCTAAGAATAAAACGAAACAGAATCATCTCCGTTTAGGAATTACTCGGAGATTGATTTTCATCCATATCTATATCTGAATCATGCATTGTTTATTGTCCTTCAATTGCCCAATCAGTGCTTTTTCAATTCCAGTCTGTGTTCTGAAGTTCTGTAATTGGAAAAAAAAATAGATATCTAGCACACAATTCTTTTGTATTTACGTATCTCACTCCTAAAGTTCCATATTTACATACATAGCTCTTAGTGCTTTAAACCTATACATGAAAAGTTGTATTTGACTTTAAAAAATGATAAAATGCTGTTTTTTATGTGATATTAAAAACTTTAGTGCTGCATGTAAATATGAAAGTTTAGGTATTTTCTTTATCAGCACTGTAGGTGATACCTGCACTGCCATGAATGAATGGGCTCATTATCCTCACACTGAGTCAGCACTCAGCAACATTCTTCCCTGCATCGACCCCAAAACGACGGATCGTACATTGTTCCAAAGCAAAATAGTCGTTCTCCAGCTAGTCAGTGTAGTCAACTCAGTAATTCGATCAACCGCAAATTCAAACCATTCAACCTCTCAATCTTCCAACCACTTCAATCAGTCTGGACCTGTAATGCCACTTCTCTGCTCTCCATATGATTCCAAACTCGAGCCGCGATATTGCCGGTCTAACGAAGTTTCATTCAGCAATGCTTCTTTGGTATAACCTCTGTTGTTTTTATTCAAAAAGTATAAAAATGGATTACTTTAGTTAGGGATGTAAGCAAGCCTACATTGAGTGAGCCTAATATTTGTTTTTGTTCGGCTCGTTTGGAAATTTTTTTCCTCTAAATTGGTTCGTGTTCAAAATGACTTGTGAATAGTGTGTTCGTGTTCGATCGATTCAACTTATGTTGTTTATTTTAGCTCGTCGAATTTAAGTTAAATAATTTAAAAATAATAATAAATTTTTCATTATTTTAAAGAGAAATTTACATATGTAGTACACAATTCTCTGTATTTACATGTCTCACACCTAAACTTTTATATTTATATATATAGCATTTTGATGCTTTAAACCTATGCAAGAAAATGTGTATTTCACTTCTAAAAAGAGGTAATAATGCTATTTTTGATACTATATTAAAGATTTGAGTGCGGTGTGGTAAATTTGAAAGTATAGGTGTGAGATACGTAAATGCATAAGAATTGTGCCCTGTATATATAAATTCTCCTTTTTCTTAAAGCTGCATAAAAATTAATATAAAAGATTAAACTAAGTATTTCTAAAATTATTTGATTAATTCGAGTTAAAATGAGCAAATATGATCAAATAAAGTCTGTTTTTGTTCGGCTCGTTTATAAATTGAACTAAAAAAAAAAATTTTTGTGTTCGAGCCGCTTTCTTAAATGAATCAAATACAAACCACTTACAAGCCGAGCACCAGCTATTCTGAAACAGGGAGCTCTTTAACTGTGGTGAGTTAGATAACCTCCATTATAAAATGAACCACTCACAAGCCGAGCACCAGCTATTCTGGAACAGGGAGCTCTTTTAACATGCCTAACTGTGGTGAGTTAGATAACCTCCATTATAAAATTTACAGGTGTGGAAAGACTATATATGCGCAGTTTCAGAATCAGGTTCCTGTACTGGTTTTGGAAGGATTACTCCTAATGTCTATCTGCAGCTGGTTGTGGCCGTAAATGCAAGCTATGCGCTTGAACACTACACTCCACTGCTTCTGAACCTACAGGACTGTAAGTTTGTTCGTGAATCCTTTAATACTATTACCAGCGACTACTGTAATTATCTGGAGCGTGATCTCAGCATGGTCAATACTGGCCTTCTTCTCATCTCCATTGGTGTTATTCTCTGCCTCCTCTTCTGGATCTTATACACGAATCGACGCCGGCAAGAGCTGTCTGTAACTCTATCTGAAGCTCTCCAAGTAACTTCTCTACCCTCCTAATAATTAATAGTCCAAGTAGTTCCTTTCTTTTTATCATTTGTTTTCTCAGATGGAGCAAAGCGCCATCTGATTTTAACACGGTTTCATGTGTTTCTGGAATTAGAGAGAGGTTGAGGGAGGGTTTTGCTCTTCTTTAGATTTGAGAAAATTTTGATGCACTCATGTATAATATGAAATTTTGATCTTAAATTCACACATTTGTAGCACTAGTTATTGCAATAGTTAAGAAGTTTATATATTCCCAATTTGATGCAAATATGATTTTTTTTTTTTATTATTTACTTGGGGCATTTACATACATGCCACCCAATTCCTATGTATCCACAAACCACAAACACTTCAATTTTCTTCAATTTTATTTTTTTTACATTTATATCACCTAAATGTTTCACATTACATAAAAAATGTCACGGTTTTAACTTTTAAAGAGTGAAATGGAGACTTTTTATTATTTACATATCAAACTTTTAAATATTATGTTTTTGTATTTATATCACCCAACTCTGTAACATACCACTGTTTTCACTAACTTTTATGGAGTGAAATGCACGTTTTAAAACTTAGGTAAATTGGAGTGTGTTAAAAGTTTTGAGCTTAGTTGTTAGATATATAAATATATAGGAATTGGGCTGTATGTATGTAAATCTTCCTTTTAACCAATGCATTGATTATGTGAACGTGGGCGCTAATCAGTAATTACTAATTTATGTTTAGAAACATTGGACCGTTCTTGTTGAATTTTGACATAGTGGCTTTCTGTCAATGTCCCATCTTTCAAAGGACGGTGAGCTGGTATCCTTGGTCTGTTGGTGGCGATGTCACTTTAACTTTCTTCGGTCAATGGTTCGATCCCACCGTGGTGCGGGCGCTCTGAAATATTATGCTCATGGTGCACACCCCATCATAGGTGTCCGAACGCATAAGGGAAGCGGTATTTGGGGCCCACCGGACTCGAATACCATTTCCTTTTATATCAAATATTTGGTATATAATTTTGACAATAATTTTTAAAACTTTTATCACTAGGATTTGGTGGACGAATATTGTAAAACCGACATTAATTTTATTTTTCTAACAAGTCGACATTTAAAATAGTTAAAAACAAAAAAAATAAGTGTTCAAACGGTTGATTTTACTTAGTCGTTCTAAAGGTCGAATTTAGCCAGTCGCCGTTTAACGGTCGATTTTGACTGGACTAGTCACCAGTTAAAATGGGACCAGTCACCAGTTAAAATGGGTCGTTTGAAGGAAATTCTTTTTGAGGTAATTTTTCTTTAAAAATATTTTGTATTTATAGATTTATGTAATTTATGTATGAATTAATTTAATTGATAAGTAATTATTTTATTTACATGAATGGTTGGTTTGCTATAGATAAATATTTTTTGTTATAAAATTTTAAAAAAATATGCATAGATCAAAGAAATAGAAGAAGAGAGTATTTTATGTTAATTTGCTATAGATAAATATTTTACTTGTAAATCTGATATACAACAACACAACAAAGCCTTAATCCCACTCTGTGGGGTCGGGCTACATGAAATATTTTACCTGTAAAGTTTTATGTTAATTTGCTATAGATAAATATTTTACCTGTAAATCTGATATATTATTACTAATTTTTTAATATCTTTATTTTATTTATCAAAATCTATAAAAAAAATAACAATACACAATTAAAAGTGGATAATAGAAGAAATGAAAATAAAAAAAAAACCCACTGATATAGGAAAAATCTACAAAAAAAAAAAAAAAAAAAACATGTATGAGTGGAATCCATATGGCATATCACAACCTGCAACATTGTTTAAGATTATATCATTCTATATGGGGTGTAATAATTTGGTAGTCATTGGGGTTGATCTTGTAGGCAGCGGTGCTGCTAGTCATGTAAATGCTCAGGTCATTCTCCTCTTCCGGTGTAATCAAAGTGTGAGAGGACATGACATATTGTCTCTCATTCGATATGAAATATACGTCATACCTTCAAAATTATTGATCTTATAAAGGTTCTGTCATAAGGGGCATCTAGAAATACTCATGATGCTACTATGAAAGCACGCTACCCAGTTTCACATAAGAATAACATGATCCAAAATATTCTGGAAACCTAAAATCATGTGAAGGCTAAGCCTGATAAATCAAACGCAGTAAAACCGTGTACGTCAAACTCCATTGTCCAGGGTCATCATGGGTCGATCAGTGTTTGTACTTCCTTAGTGTTTCGTGCACATTTGATCAACGCCTGCACCTTTTCTGGATTGGCTTTTGTTTTCTTGTGGATGCCCCGAATGTACACTTGAGTGGGTTTAGCCTCATATTAAATTTCTCAAGTCTTTCAACAGTTTCTTTTAGATTTTTTTCTGTTGCTTGTACATTTAATTTTTTTTATTAGTGGATCATCCATATACTCCTCTTTTTTTCCTCATTTTTTGCTTTGAAAATAATACATCTATCATTCGATGGTAGGTAGAGCTAGTATTATTTATCATTTTCTCCCTAAGTGACTACCAGAGCAATGGTTCCCAACTCTCGCTAGAAAAATCATATAGTGGGCTCGCTGCTCCCGTCAATCGACCATTTTCAACCCATCTTATCAAACATTGATTTGAACAAAATGTTTATAGAGTTTCTAGTGCTGGTAAAGACACTATCAATATGGTAGTTGCTAATCAACACGTTGACGAAGATAGCGTAATTATAGGGATTCCCCATAGGTGGCAATTCCTCATCAGTGATGGTTATTGGGGGATGTGAGTTACATTAGGGAGCTATCGTGGCTGCACATTATTCTTCTGAACGGAGCCACTTCAGGCTAGCTTGGCAAGATGAGTCTCCACATCCTCCAAAGATGATGGGAACTATGTGGACAATGTGGATGGCATGGACTTGGACTAACTCATCCAAAATTACTTTTACCGGAGCTTTCCTTTATTGTTGGGTCATTGCTCCTGTAATTACAAACTTCTTAAGCTTCCCTTCCTTGATCAACTTCTATATCAGGCATTGGAGGTTAGCATTTTTCTGTGTCAAAGCCATGGTCCCCGATGGTAGGGGTGATATTTTCTTAGGGTTCCAAAAGTAAGCTCCAGTTTTCATTGGGTTCGCTCTCATGAAATAATCTTTATTTTAGATGACCTACACAATCTTGGCCATCGAAACTCTCAACAGTGTTGTCTTGGGTAATTGATGGTTAGACAGCGGATGTTCATTATACTGAGTTGGTCGTTGGTTAGGATATCAAGTATGACTCCCACAATTGTATGCTATGTTGATCACCCTGTAGTCATAAGGCGGTTTTGTATCTTCATATCAAGGATGTGCAAAAAGACATGAATCATGTCTCAATCTTCACCTTATGCTTTAGGGGGCTCCCTCCTGCGGAAGATGGGTGGAGGAAGACACTGTAGGAAACGTGGATGGAGTTATACTCCTCAACCGATATGTGGTTGTTGGTCATCTCCAACAACTCAGTTAGCATATTCGGTCGCTGCAGACCCAACGTGTACCATAAAGGTCCTTCCTTCAACCCTTAAGCTAGGGCAACATGAGCTACTTAGGGCTGCTAGTTTCACACTTATAACATCTCCTTTTGAAGCATGTAATGAATGAGTGTAAGCTGTCGTTATACTCCTGTTTGATCTCCAAGAGGGCCTATGAACTTTTTTAGGCTTTTGGGGGCTGATAAATTGCGTCAAACATTCGCTCGAAATCAGTGAACAACGTGAACACTGCCGACGATAATGTATTGAACCACTTGAGGGCTGACTTCCTTATTGTAGTAAAGAAGAGATGAAATTTCAATGTCTTGATGATCTTTAGCATACCACAATCGATTCAAACAAAACTATGTTGTATGTCAGATCGATCCTGCCCTTATAGGACTCAAATGTTGGAATTTTAAATCTCTTTTGGGGCTAGGCGTCTGAAATTAGTCGAGTGAACCCATTCTCTAGTTGTCTGGGCACCTTAGTACACCCGAGTTTCGATTAATCGGTGCCAACCCATCAGAATCGAAGTACTGACAGACGCATTCTCTTTCAAGAGCTTGAGGGGCTTTTCAGTCGTTTGACGCTTACTCTTCCTCTCTAAGGTATTATTCTCTTTCTCGAGATAGTGTGCCTCGAATAACATCCAATATTTGATCCTTCAACTCATGTATCTTCTAGTTCACAAACTTCCCGACACACTCCATATTATCAGTATCTCTTTTGTGAGTTTCTTCTCTTTGGGCTCATCTTCTAGTCTACAACATAATCCACACTCCTTAGACCTTTTAGTATGTTGAATCCTCATTTACCACTGAATCGAACCCGAGGGAATAAAGCGTAAAGAAGGAGGGACGGAGGGAGAATAATAATGATCAGTAATCGTGTCACTTCTGTTGGCATTTTCCATCTGTTTTGGCTAATTTGGCTTACCCCTTCTTAAAAAAAAAGATCCCCCTATTTATAGGGAAAATAGTAGAATATGTTGTTATTACATTCTTACCTCTACTTTAATGGGGAATATACAAAGTATTCTAGGTATTTTGCAGGTATGAGCCTATCGCTCGACAGCTCTTTGGTTGGCTGGTTGAGCTTGTTCAGCTTCGGCTCAACATGACCAGCTCGATCGGTGTTGCTGATTGGTTGAGTTTGATTGGCTTCAGGTTGATTAAACTGATTCGGTCGGCTAAGTTAGTCTGACTGTCGACTCTTGATAATATATTGGGGAACTTCTGGACATGCTGGATATAATTGCATATGCTGAGGGGTTATGTCTTCATTTAGTTGGCTTCTTCATATCAATTGATTTGGGTGTACCGTTGTCTAGTTTCTGACAAAACGATTTGGATTCAGATCATTCGGTCGCCTTTCGTGACTCGTTCGGATAAGTGGTTTTTACGAGCTTTTGTGAGCAGATTCTCATTCATTGTATTATTCTGTTCGTGACAGTTAGATTTCTCCAGGACCAACAAAGTCACATTTTCGACGTACAATTATATTTTTACTATAATATTAAAAATCCAAATGTTCTATATGTAAATATTGAAAAAATTATTTTGAATATGAAAAGATATTAAAATAATGCGATTTATAAGTAAAATCCTAAATAATTTGAGGAGAAGGCGAAGATTTATTAAGTAATAAAATAAATATAAAAAGAATGACTTTCTGAGTTGTTATTCCAATTTCGATGTCTCGGAGATTCGTGTGTTTAGCTTGGATGGCACCGAGAAAATCTACTAGCTTCTCCACAGGAGACTACGTTAACCGACCAAAAAAGCGGACCACTTAAAAAGTCCTGGAGTCTCCTCGCCATCTTTGGGTGGGTGCCTCAACGAGTAAACTTTTTTTGTTTTTTTTTGGACATTTCCTCGATCCCTCTGAAAGAGCGCACTCGGGGATAAGTAATGGGAGATAAGCACAGTAAAACGTCAGATGACTTTTCATATAAGTCCATTGACTTATTTGCTCAGTCCATATCAGCTGAGGGGACTTCTAATCTTACATAAAGGGCGCATACCCCACCGCAAACCCCAACAGCTCTCTTATCGTTCTCACTTCTTCTTGCGGCTTTCGCCTGCGATTTCCTCTTTTTTCTCCACCATGTTTTCTCTCTCTTAAACCTTAATCGGAAAAGGCGTCTCCTGTGATCTATCCGGAGGGTTTCGCTGAACCCACCAGTAGATCCGAATCGGCCAGGTAGGATCCAGCCGCCACCACCACCACAGGATCTCCGATCCGAAGTAGACCTGATTTCGCAGTTTTTCTAGTGGCCATGAGTTCTCTCAGCAGAGAGCTCGTGTTCCTGATACTGCAGTTCTTGGACGAGGAGAAGTTCAAGGAGACGGTCCATAAGTAAGGAATCTGATGAACCCCTCTTTTTGAGCCCTTATTTTTAATCCAGGAATTTCTTTTCTTCATGAATTTGTTTTGATTTTGAGCACGTGGCTTGTGAAGGTTGGAGCAGGAGTCGGGTTTTTTCTTCAATATGAAGCACTTTGAGGAGACGGTGCTCGGCGGGGACTGGGAGGAGGTGGAGAGGTATCTCTCGGGGTTTACCAAGGTGGACGATAACCGGTATTCGATGAAGATTTTTTTTGAGATTCGAAAGCAGAAGTATCTCGAGGCTTTGGATAAGTTCGTATATTTAAATCTTGTTTGCAGCAGTTTCTCGTTTTAATGGCTTTATTGATTTTTGTTTGTTTCTTATTTTTGGGTTGCCTGGGTGCTGCGTTTGCAGGAAAGAACGGTCGAAGGCTGTGGATATACTGGTTAAGGATCTCAAGGTCTTCGCCGCTTTTAACGAGGATCTTTTTAAGGAGATCACCCAGCTCTTGACCCTCGATAATTTTAGGTATTGCCCTTGAATTATTTAATTTTGGGCGCCATAAGATATCCTTTTTTATTTTGTTTCTTTTTATAGGGAAAATGAGCAGCTATCCAAATATGGAGATACCAAATCAGCAAGGGTCGTAATGCTCTCCGAGCTTAAGAAGCTGATAGAGGCTAATCCTTTGTTCCGTGACAAGCTGCAGTTCCCAAACCTTAAGAATTCGAGACTGAGGACGCTCATCAATCAGAGGTAGGATATTTTAAGAAAGCTTTATTTCCCTGGCGGCTCTGGTTTTGTGGTTTTCCAATGGCTTTGTTTTGGACAGTTTGAATTGGCAGCATCAACTGTGTAAAAATCCGAGGCCAAACCCAGATATCAAAACACTATTTTATGATCATTCTTGCTCTCAACCGAATGGTGCACGAGTGGCATCTCCTGCTCCTCCTGTTATGAACGTGATGCCTAAACAGGGGGGATTTCCTCAACTAGGTCCGCATGCAATGGGTGGAGTTATAACGGTGATTAGTAAATCTCTGAGAGCTTTGTATGAGGGCACGAAGTTAATGATATGGAGAACATGATGCATTTTTGTTTTTGTTTTGTTATCTTTTTATTTTTCAGCCATTTCAGCCACAAGCAACAAATCTTCCAACGCCTCTTGCTGGTTGGATGGCAAATGCATCCAATGGCACTCCTATGCCGCATCCAGCTATTTCGGGTGGTCCTCTTGGCCTTGCTGCTCCTCCCAGTTCAGGTGCTTAAGAGTTGCCTTAACCTTTTAGCCATGTGCTCATATCATGCTGTCTTAATTTTGTTTCAGAAATTAATAGCCTATTTTTTTACTGTGATTTGTGCAGCTTATATTCATTTTAAGCATTAATCGATCACAAATATTTTAATAGTCTTAGGAACTCTTATCCTCTATTTCTTATTTCTGGTTACTATTGAAAAATAAAGCCTCTATTCCACTAGTCTTTTTAGACGGCCTCAGCTGTAACGCATTTGGTCTATTCATTTTATTCTTATTTCTTTCATATTAGTTCAGCTACTCTCCTTATTTGTCCATTGTTTGTCTGTTGTTGTAGATCCCCTAGATCTCTAGTGGTATTATTAATCACCCTAATTTTGATTAGTGCTACATCCATAATGTCTATAATATAATTATTTTTCATTTTATCCATGTTATCTTTACAAATATCCATTTTGATGTCTATTTTTGATAATATAAACTTGCTTTTAGTGACTAATTTGTTGTTATACTCTAAATGCGTACAACATTGCTAGTCTAACTATGTTTATAAAACCTATTTTATGTCTCTATGGTTTTCTTTTATTGTATAGTGTCTCGAGGCACTGCAAGTTACTTCCCAATTTTAATGTAGTTATTCAAAATGCCAAACATTTTCCTCATCAAACATTCATTATTGTCGGACTATTGTGGACTTCTCAATGTCGTACTCAGAGCCTTTTGTTAATCAATGTAGCTGCTCTGTTGAAGCGCCCTGTGACACCGAACAGCAACCCTCCTGTGGATTATCACTCTGCAGATTCAGAGCATGTTCTTAAAAGGCCACGCCCTTTGGGAATATCTGAGGAGGTAGCTCGTTGATTCTTCCTTTTATTCGAGTTAACCATTTTATAGCATTTCTCTCACTGAGAACTTTTATTTATAGTTTTTTCAAGTGAACTAGATGCTTCTTTATAAATGTGTAACATCCTTTAATTTGTGACCGCTACAGGTTGCCCTACCCAATGCTCACTTGCCCATAGGATATGCTAGCATTCCTAGGAACCAATTCAATACTGACGAGTTGCCAAAGAATTTAGCTGTGACTTTAACTCAAGGGTCTAGTGTAATGAGCATGGATTTTCATCCTTCTCAGCCAACCCTTCTTCTAGGTTAGCGCTTTATTTACTCGGCTGTATTTTTTTAATTCTAATGGAAATGTGTTATATCTTGTAACTTAAGGGTTTGGGATTGACTATTAGCATTTCTCTTCCAGTTGGCACCAATGTTGGTGATATTGCTGTATGGGAGGTTTCCTCTAGAGAAAGACTCTCTCATAGAAATTTTAAAGTCTGGGAACTTTCAGCATGCTCAACTCTCCTGCAGGTATTTTGAACTTTTTGGGGTTTGCATGTAGTTTTCCTTGATTCTTTATGATTAACTGTATCCTTTTCGATGTTATGGTGATCAGTCCGCTTTGGTTAAGGATCCTGCCATATCTGTTAACCGCGTTCTTTGGAGTCCTGATGGCAATCAGTTTGGTTAGTTAAAATGTGAAACTGGTCTTTTCCTTTTTGCTCAAAAGATTTTATGTATTAAATATTTTAGATGCAGCATGCGCGGCTTTTACAGCTGTATATGGCTTTAGAGAAATTTTGGAAATCATTCATCTTGTTGGAGCAAATTAGTTAAAAATCCCAAATATGTTTGATGAATATTTTAAGCTGACCTTCTTCACTCAGGTATTGCGTATTCCAAGCACCTTGTGCACTTGTACAATTACAATGGCCGTGATGATCTATTACAACACTTGGAGGTACTTTCATCACTTATTTTTTTTCATTTGGACATAGCAATCTTTGCTCACAAACAGCATTCATTATTGTCCCTTTTTTTGGCGGCGTACTTGATCATCAGATTGATGCCCATAGTGGTGGGGTAAATGACATTGCTTTTTCTCAACCAAACAAGCAATTGTGCATTGTGACTTGTGGAGATGACAAAACTATCAAGGTTTTATATGATTCACTGGCATGATGGTTAGACTTGAAAATTTTTATGAACCGATTCTTGACAATCTTGTACTGCAGGTTTGGGATGCCACAACTGGTGCCGTACAGTATACTTACGAAGGTCACGAGGCCCCTGTTTACTCCATTTGCCCGCATTCAAAAGAAAATATTCATGTAATTTCCTCCACATCTTTTAGATCTTTGGTTTGGACACAGAATTTGTTGTACTTTATGAAGTCATTCTGAACCTTATATCTCTTTTATTCAGTTTATCTTCTCCACTTCCCTTGATGGCAAAATAAAGGCTTGGTTGTATGATAATGGGGGCTCAAGAGTGGATTACACAGCACCTGGTCAATGGTGTACTACCATGGCCTATAGTGCTGATGGAACAAGGTTGCTGATCTCTATTATTATTTATTATATGACCTGGCTTGATATGATTGCTATCATCTATTTTGTTAATTTTGGCATTACTCTTTGTGAAAAATTCTGGTTTTGTGCTTGCACATATGCAGGTTATTCTCATGTGGTACCAGTAAAGAGGGAGATTCATATATTGTTGAGTGGAATGAAAGTGAAGGTTCTGTGAAGAGAACATATTCTGGTTTCAGGAAAAGATCAATGGGTGTTGTGCAATTTGATACAACAAAAAATCGATTTTTGGCTGCTGGAGATGATTTCATGGTCAAGTTCTGGGATATGGACAACACTAACCTTCTGACAACAGCTGATGCGGAGGGTGGATTGTCGGTAATAATTTAATTGATTGATCTTTTTTATCTTTACTCTTCATTTTTTCTAGGATATTCCTTTGTTAAGATGTCAATTTATTGCATGGAAATCTCATTAGGCTTCTCCACGCATACGCTTCAACAAATTAGGATCGCTTCTAGCAGTTTCTACTGGTGACAATTGTATTAAGATTTTGGCAAATGCTGAGGGATTTCAACTGCTTCGTTCATTTGAAGGTCGACTTTACAGTGTTGCAAGATCAGTTTCTGAGGCAAAGGTTGGTTATCGCTATTTACTTGATGTTTTGGGCCTTTATATTATTTTTGTTGTTGATTTGTATTTTTATATACTCCAGCTAAACAGATACAACCATCCTTTAATGCTGCAGGCACCGACTATTAGCTCTTTGGGTGCTGTGAGTGCTATGCCTGGAATTAGTGTTGCCATTGCTGATCGTAGTAGCATAGTTGCCCCTATTGTTGGATTGGTAATATAGATCATCCTGCTGTTGATTGTCTATATTTTTAATATGTTTTCTAAATCTAGCCTGCCTTGAATTTATATCTTGCTTTACATTGTTGGAGGTTAACCAAAGTTTCTTGGTACTGTTGTAGAATGGTGATAATCGTAATATTGCTGATGTAAAGCCAAAAATTATTGATGAGCCAGTTGACAAATCTAAGATATGGAAACTTACGGAAATCAATGAACCATCTCAGTGTTGTTCTCTTAGGCTTCCAGATAATCTACTTGCCGTAAAGGTGAGGATTTCTTGTGCTGCTTGTCTCTATACGATTTATAGAGATTTCATATTTATTGTTTGTCTTATTTATGTCTAACGCAACACACTAGTTAGAGTGTTAAATGTTTTACTTACATGCAAAGTTAACTATTGCTTTCTTTTCAGCAAGTATTATTTGGATCCTGTTATTAAACAATGATCAAGCTATGAAAGCCTTGAATTTATTGTTCACTGTTATTTTTTTTTAAATTGCATTGTGTTCTTATAATTATCAAAGGGCTACATAGATTATTATTAAATTATTTTGATACATTTTATATGGTTAGGCTTTATAAAATGTGTCACTTCTTCAAGCCATGATGCTAGTAAATCACCGTCCCAAAAGCTTCTAGAGGCAATGTTTTTCGCAAATTATGAGTGCTGTGAAAAGTTATGCTCTAGTTAGTTACTTGTGCTCTAGTCAGTCTTCAAGAATTGCTCAATTGAGGCGCAAATTAATGTCCTTTGCCAAGGTGTTTCTTTCTAATTCGAAGGTTCACCAATATTTAATTGTGGGCACAAAAATATGCGAAAAAGACCAACATAAAAAAAAAAAACATGCTGGGGTTTACTAGCGAACCTTTTGCCAGTTAAGGGTTTGTTTGGGGCAGCTTATTAGGGTGCAACGACGTTTTACATTTTGAAAACGCCGCCACACTGTTTGGAAAGAACGTTTGCCAAGCGTTTCGCTGCCGCACCCGCGTTCGCGTTCGAGGTTTTGTTAATAGGCTTTTATGTTGGTACTCTCCCGTGTCCCGCGTCCGTGACCCGCGTTGCCCTAAGAATTCCAGAGGTGCCTGCCTCTCCCTCTCTGATTTTCGTTTTTCCTTCTTCACCCTAGAGGAGTTCGACACTTCTCATTCGAGTTATGTTTCACTAGCTTCGATCATTGGTAAGAGAACATGTTTCCCAAACAGAACCTAAATGTAGCGAAGTCTGTCATATTTTTAGCTTTGAGCCAACAAGAATCAAATAATGCTTCTAATTTTGTTTGAAAAAGGTAGGGAGCAATATTTCTAAGTATATGAACTTTGGATGATCCAAGTGATTGTGCTATTATAACATGATGACATTCTCATAATCCATACTATAAGATGAAACTTCATATTTTTTTTTGTGGATTGCCTCTCGGGTTCATCTTTCTTTAAGAGATCTTCAATCATCTTCTTAATACCATTTTTCCCCAAATTCAAGACTTGAAATTCACAAATGTTTTGATGAAAGTAGAAACACAATTAAAATTCTTTATATTTTTATAATTGGGAATAAGGTTTCAATAGAATTTTGGAGAATGAAGTGGAAATTTTAACCATAGTGTCATTTGAAAGTATGGTAATATCAATGCCAAGAAATATAAGAAGGGGTGCGTATGCAATTAAAATATCTAGAATTAGGTTTATACTTATAAAAAATTGTATCATCACCAATTATTTGATAAGAAGCAACTGAGCTGATAATTCTTGTTTTTGCTTTTTTAGATGTAAATATTAGTGTTTAGAGGGTTACTGTTTTGAACAACATAAATTGAACTCATGGCAATGTAGTGGTTTGAAGGTTTTTTCTTAGATGTTCCTGTTTGTTGTGTATTTGGAGGAATTTTTTTATTTTTTGGTTGAATAGAATTAATTTAGATGATATTGAAGTCTTAGGGTGTGATTGTTTGAGCTTTTAAAACCATGTTTTCAACCTAACAGGCATTTTAGGGTGTTTGATTCGTGTGTTTAGGTCATCCGGTCCCGAACGCGGTTTGGCATTACTGTGCTTTTGCAAATGCAGGTGGCTAGCGTTTTGCGGTTTGCGAATAAACAATCCCCCTCGGCTCGCAATTCTACCCTCGCTTTGCCTTGGTCGTCGACATTGTATTGCTTGAGATCTTCTTACGCTCCATCTCCGCTCCTCCGCTCGTATTTCTCTTCCAAGCAGGGTAACCGCCGCTGCTGCAATAGTAGAAGAAGCCCTTTACTTCTCTTCGGCGTCAGGCCTAGGAGTCCACCGACAACGCCTTCTCCTCTACTTCGTTTTAGCTTCATATCCTCTGTGAATTCTTGTATCGGTTCTCTCCTTTTTTTCATTTTTTTCTTTAAATCCATGGAAATTTATTGCTATGCTTAGCTTAAATATGAGTGAAGTAAATGAAATCAAATGAAATCCAACCAATTTGGAATTTCGTTATGAACCATTTTGGAGTTTCGTTATGAATTTGCTGTCATTGACTTGAGTTTTGAATTTTATTGTTTTTGAATATTTTTTCAATCAGATTCTCAACATCCAAATGCAGCCTGTATTGCACACATACCACAAAATTCTTATTTATATACTATTATACTTATCATGAACTATATATAAAAAGTTTTATTACTTTTATATAAATCTAGAGATATCTCATAAATAAACTTTAATATACACACACACACACACAACAAATAATTAGATCAAGATTTTTTATAGGGCTATAAAAATATATCAAAATCAGTTAATTCTCTTTCCAACAACATCAAGTGTATTAAAAATTTTACTTAATATGAACAGAAGGTTATTTCAAACATTTATCCACAACTAGCACTTTCAAAACCAAAATTTTCAAATGGTTCAACTGCTTCCGAAACACTAGCTTTTAAACAACAAATTTTTCAGAATAGCATTTAAACAAAAATTTCGCACAACCACAACTAAAACAAACACATCCTTAATATTGTTTGTGATTTTTAGGTAGGAGTTTTTTCAGTTTATCTTTTCAATAGTTATCAGCTTATCATGTCTTGTTTTATGACAATGATTGATTTAAGGTTTGTTTATCTTTTCATATGTCTCATCCCTATAGTTGAATTTGGTTATGTGGGCTGCAAGGGCAAAATTATTCTCGTGACTTATTGGGTGTCGCCAATATTATCTTTCTTTTATTTTTTTTTTCCTCTTAGAATCTTAGAGAAGGCTTCATAAATTTTGGGAAGTGAGTTCATGTTTAAGATTCCCTTATGAAAATTGTTTGGAATTTTTTTTAATCTTCATAGAAACTTGGACATCCTTTTTTGTTCTAACACGCTTTTTGCATCACGACCAATGAGCAAAAGAGTTGAAATAAACTGTGATAGAATGGTCATCTTGTCATAGATCTTATAGAGTGCTCTTGATTTGAATAAGGTTTGAGCAACGTTGAAATAGATCTCTTCTACCACATCCCAAAATTTTTTGGTGGTTTCATAGTACATGAAATTTTTCTTCAATTTCATTTGTTATGGAATTCATTAGCCATGACAGTGCCATACTATTTTCCACCTTATATGTCCAAAACTTGGTATTTTTCATTTGGTGCATCAACTAATTTTTTAAGATGATCTTCCTTGTCTTTCCCACAAATAATCATTTCTGGTAATTGAGACTATTGAATATAGTTTTACCTATTATCTTTGATAAGATGGTCCTTTTGATTAGGATAAACAGAACAAGATTAGATGTCATCTCAATCATGCAAAGGGATGGAACAGGAGAATATGGGGAAAATTTTGAGGAAGAGCGCATGGAATTTCTTTGATACCATATAGAAATATGTGAAAGAGTTTATTGATTTATTTCTTCGAGGATCTAATGATATGTTAGGTACACATAGAGGAGATGATTTATAGTTTTGTCATGGAAGACAAATTACTTTCCTACACAAAAATAACTAAAAAGGAGATGATACCATATAGAAATATGTGAAAGAGTTTATTGATTTATTTCTTCGAGGATCTAATGATATGTTAGGTACACATAGAGGAGATGATTTATAGTTTTGCCATGGCTGACAAATTACTTTCATACACAAAAACAACTAAAAAGGAAATATAATATGCATGATTTGAGTGTTTGAATTCAAATCTCTTTTATATGTAATGACAAATAAAGAAAAAAATGAGCAATGCTATTGAATGATGAGGTGGACAGGGTAATCTTGAAATTCATGGGCATATGCAGCTATACTGAAAAGAAGAGTTATGATTTCTCTAAAATTCATAGACATTAGCAACAACTAATAAAGATTTACCTTGAACGCCCTCAAGTAGAGCCCATCATTAAAAAACATTATCCGCTATAAAATTCCATGCCAAAAAAAACATCTAGTTTCTAACTTGTTGTGCTATTAGCCTATTCAACAAATGAAAGAAATTGATTATGAAGGCATGTCATAATTTTCAAAATGTTTTGCTTGTAGAACTCTAGATTAAACAAAAAATCTTATACTTAATTTTTAGTTAATGTTTTATTAATGTGAGTTTAATAATTATCAATATTATAAAGATATTATTACAATTTCTTCTAAATTAAGGGAATGTACTATTAAGTAAAATATTGAATGTTTTTGAGTAAAAGTTAAGAAATACAGGTGTTATACTCTGTTTACTCTACTCAAGTCAGCTAATTCTAAAGTCAGTTTGATTTCATAACCCTATTACCTCATACAAAATCAAAATTTTTTGTTGAAGAATTGAATCACGATCTGTCATAGAAGAATTGGGCTATATGATCAAAATCACATCTTGTAAAAGTATAGCTGCAGGAGCCACACACATCTCCTAATACTTAAAAAAATCTAGAGGAACCAATTTTTTTTTTTAAATCTTTTTGAAATTGCTACTATAATTTGCTATAGTACTTGCTATTGAAACCAAAGAAGAAAGAAGACACGGATTATGTTATACAATTAGATTATTTGATGAAACTATAAAAGCATATGCTTAGAAAAATCAAAGTAATAAGGGAATCAATTTGCTTTTATTATAATTAAACATATGAGGCTACTATGGAAGTGCTCATGTCAAGTAATTGAAAAATACTAATAAACAAACCAATGATTAAAAAATATTTTTGTTTGTTATGTTGAACTTATTATTAGTGCACGCGGGCGCGCCTATAATAATAAGGTTTTTAAGTGCATGTTATTTTCATATCACATATATTTAATAAAACCTTTGCTAAAATAAAATAAATTAAAATATTATATAAAACTTAGATTATAGCGGTCTTAGGATTAGTAAATTAAAAGATTGAGCACATCATAGGCAATTTAGTTGATCTAAAATTGATTAATTTTAGTCAAAATTGTTTTAAGAACAAAATAACCCTAAACCTTAAACTATAAATATATATTGTGCCGCTCGCTGCGGCTCTTTGGTTAACATCTGCGAAGTCAGTTCTAAGTCCCCTAGGGTCATGGGTTTGAGCCCATCTGAGTGCATCTGCCTTGCAACTAGGGTCACGGGTTTGAGTCCATCTAAACGCATCTTGCCTTGCAGCTAGGGTCACGGGTTTGAGTCCATCTAAACGCATCTGTCTTGCAGCTTAGGATCGAGTGGTTAGACACATAAGGGTGGTGGGGGCTCATATCACAGTCTCCGACCATTCTTTAATAAACACACACACACACAGAAGCATGCATTCTGCATATGCAAGGCCTTGAAATCAGGACTTCTTGGTTGACATCATGCATTCTGCATGTGCAAGGCCTTGAAATCAGGACTTCTTGGTTGACATACTTTTAAGCGCCGACAGCCTTGCATAAGAACAAAATAATATTTAAGTGTGATAGGTGCCTTGCATAAGAACAAAATAATATTTAAGTGTGATTCTAGGACAATGTGCCTTTGTTGACCTCAATTTTCGTGAGGTCTAGTATTCTACATGTAAGTATCTTGAATAAGTCTGATAAAAGTTGTCAACAAGGTGATGCAAAAGAGAATATAGGCCTTAGTGTTCATGTTATAACCTAAAGTAACTTTTATGTAAAATAATTTGGATTTATAGGTGGGTATAATCTTTAGTGTCAAGGTAGGGTTAGAAAAATACCTTAAGAGTTAGTTTTACATAATAAGAGAATGTCATGAACACTTTAGGGTAAAATTTATAAATTGCAATTTCAATTGTGTATTTTATGTAGATCTTAGTGTGGATCTATAAATAAGTCATCAGTAATTAAGTTGGATACCTAAAAAATTAGAATGTATGTAGGGATATGTGGTTAAACTTAGAAAGGTGGATTCTTAGGAAGACAATATTGGTAACTCCTATAAAAAATTAGATGGTAAAAAATAGACTTAGTTGATTTGGGTATATAACATAGTGTGGAAAGTGCAATGGTAAAATATTTTCATAAAATACATGTGAAGTGGTACATACTGCAAATAGCAAACATCATGGGGAAGAAGGCACGACTTGGTACATTCTATGTTATTAGTAATGCAAGGTTCATGTGTGTAAGATGTCTGTGCTATTTGCCCTCGATACATGTATTTCACATTACTCACATTGGAGCATACTTTATTCTTATTTTTTAATTGGAGAAATGCTATTTACTAGTGGTTTTTTAAAGTATTTATGATGGTGCTCTTTTTACATAATTAAACAATGATGAAGCCTTGCAAACCTTGTAGGGGTTGGGTTACTCTCATTTTTTATAGTTTTTAGAGATTTTAATGCGGTGTTTTTTGTTTGATTATTAAAATCATCTTTAGTGTTATCTGTTAGAACTAATGGCTTGTTCTATTGTTCTAAATGCGGCATTTTTATTAGTTCTATGCAAGTATTTTTTTTGTTATTCTTTTGTTTGTCTACAACGTTAAGTTTTTATTTTTTATCTTTTATTTTAGAGAATGAGTAAAATTTTGTTTATTCAATTGACAATTATTCAATCGTTGTTGTTGGAATTGATTGATTTTATTAGGAGACTTTATTGAAATTTAAATTAGTTCTTTGAATTCAATAATTGTTGTTGGAATTGATTGATTTTATTAGGAGAATTTAGCTAAATTTAAGTTAGTTCTTTGAAATTTATTTTGCTCGCTTTTGCTAGTATTATAAGTTTGTTGTTCTGGTTTATTTGATTTTTATTTCTCTAGCACATAACCTTTGATTTTATATTTGTATAGTTTTATTTTCTAGACTTTTTTGGTATTCTTAGGACATTTTTTCCTCTTTCTTTTTTTTTTTTTGCAATTTTTTGTTAAAATAATGTGTTTTGCTATAAATATTGCACCGTGGGAGTGTTGTTCGCTGATTTGTCTTACTTTTTGAGGTGTTTTCCATGGGTTGTGCGTGCACCACGGCTCTACCCAGCCATTTGTGCCAGTGTGCCTTTTTATTTTAACAAGTATGATTAGAAAGGAAAGAGGAAGTGACTTAGCATGGAAACAAAGGTGTGTTATGGAGATTTATGATTAGAATTTTTTGCTGGTGGCTATGGAAATCTTACATTAGATTTTTTGAGATGGCCATGAAAATTAAGCCATTAAGATAAATTAAATGAGAAGTAAAGAGGAAGAGAGTGTAGAAATGAGGGAGTTGATAGAGAGAAAAGAGGAGAGAAAAGGGGGCTTACCATCCAGGCAAGTTTCAAATCAACGTCGAATCAATCTCATAATTTACTACATGGCTTTTGATAGAAAGAATGCATCTAGTTTTTCAGATGCCTGTTTTTTAAACTTATTTAAAGATATAAAACCAAGACATCAAAATTCGGTCATCCCATGAGGTGGGCTGCCAGTAAAGGCCTTAAGTGTCCTGAGTGAACTACAATATGCTCTGGGCCTGACTTTAGACCAATGTTGTTTTTGAAACTACATTGATTTTTAATGTTCATTTTAACCATGCTGTTCTTGGATAACCTAAACTGAATCAGTCTGATCTGTTTTGCCTTAGATTTGGTTTGAGGCTGCTGCATCAGGTTTAGGATGAATGGTTGGAATTTATTGAAAATAAAGCTAAATTCTTATGCAAAACTCAACAAGAGTGAATGATGAAGAAATTCACGAAGCCAGACCATGATAAGGTTAATGATGATGTCTGCTATTTCTTGAAGATCTTGATGCTAGTCTAACATCATTTCCTTTTTATCGAGCTCTGCATTTGCTTTTGTACTGGCATAGTATTGAAGAAGTGGGGGCAATCAGATTATGTGAGGTTGGTGAATTTAAATTGTATGTGAAATTTGTTATGACGTACATTCGCAGCATTCATACAATGATGCCTCATTTAGTCTTTTATAATTATGTGATGAGTTCACCGTCAAAAGAGCTTCTTGAGCTAAGATTATCCTTTTGAAACAGTCATGATTGGAACTTTTGATCCTCTTCTCGGAGCACATAATCTTCTGGGCAATATGTTTAAATTTAAGTCTTATCTACTCCCAAATCTTACTTGAAATAGTTTTGTGCATTTGTTTGTTTATTGAATTTTAAATTTTACCACTTCAAGGTGATGCGTTATGCTCATATGCCTCAGCTTACTTTTTGATGTCTTTTTGGTCCGGCAGGTTGCCAGATTGATTTATACTAATTCAGGTCATGCGATTTTGGCTTTAGCATCCAATGCTGTTCACAAGCTATGGAAATGGCAGAAAACCGACAGAAATGTCACTTTGAAGGTGATTATTGCCCATTTTTTTCTCTAGTTTGAATAGGTCAAATGCTTCATTTATCTAATATCTGACTAAGGTTCTATCTACAGGCAACTGCAGCTGTGGCGCCACAGATATGGCAACCTACAAGTGGCATATTGATGACCAATGAAATCAGTGATATAAATCCCGAAGAAGCTATTCACTGTTTTGCACTGTCCAAGAATGATTCATATGTCATGTCTGCATCTGGCGGGAAGATATCCCTCTTTAATATGATGACATTCAAGGTGACTTATTTCATTTGGCTAAAACCTGATGTTATTGAACAGCTTTTATCCATATTTATTAGGTTTACTTTCCTTTTCAATCCTTACATATTAATTATATCTACGCTTATGTTGCCCATAAATTCTATTTTTCTTGAACAAACCAAATATACTGAAGTTGCTTGTCATTTTATATTGATCATTTCTAAGAAGTTTACTCGGTGCTTTCAATTCGATGCAAGTGGATTATATTTTTGCCAGAGTTTAGAGCATTTATCATTTTCTTATTTATGTAATAAGCTAGATTTAACTGATATTTTGCTGCAACTTGTGGGGGTGGGGGGGGGGGGGGGGTGGGGTGTC